ATCCTATTGTCAGCCGAACTATGAGTATGTGTTATATCTATATTAGTAGAAATAGTTTATTTGTGTTGAATATGTTTTCTGTAAAAACATTCGAGTATTTTAATTTGTTATATGAATGATTAATTGTTTATGTCCTGCTGATGTGCGAGTATATATGTTAAATGAATTAATTTTGGTTGATTCCGTTTTCCAATTAATAGGTGCTATTTGAAATATTTCTTATCAGTCATAATATGACAATCCCTTAAATTTGTGTCAAGTAAATCATTCATTTTATCATCACATGTATTTCGGTTTCCACTGAACAATCAGTAGTAAATTGACCATAACTTGCTCAATAAAAATCCAATTGATGGGAGGATTGAATCTTTAGAAACTAGGCAGACAATGCTTTAATTTAATATATTATACACTTAATTTGGATAACTGTAGCCCCACTACCAAACCATTCCTTTCATCATCACACATTTCGGTTTTCACTAAACAGTCAGTAGTAAATTGACCATAACTTGTTCAATAAAAATCCAATTAATGAGAGGTTTGCATCTTTAGAAATTAGACAGACATAACTTTAAATTGATATATTATACACTTAATTTGAATAACTGTAGCCCTACTGTCAAACCATTCTTTTTATCATTACACACATTTCGGTTTTCCCTGTTTCTCGATTTCCACTGAACAGTCAGTAGTAAATTAGTCATAACTTGCTCAATAAATATCCAATTGATAAGCAGTTTAAATTTTTGAAGGCTAGATAGATAGAGATTTAATTTGATATATTATACGCTTAATTTGGATAACTATAGGCCCACTGCCGAACCATTCATTTTATCATCACACACATTTCGGTTTTCACATAACAGTCAATAGTAAATTAACCATAACTTGCTCAATAAAACTCCAATTGATGAGAAGTTTGAATCTTTAGAAACTAGAAATATAGAGATTTAATTTGGTATATTATACTCTTAATTTGGGTAACTATAACCCCACTATTGAACCATTTCTTTTATCATAACACATATTTCGGTTTTCCCTATTTCTCAATTTCCACTGAGCAATCAGTAGTAAATTGGTCATAACTTAATAAAAATCCAATTAATGAGAGATTTGAATCTTTGAAAACTAGACAAATAGGGATTTAATTTGATATATTATACGCTTAATTTGGATAACTATAGACCTACGGCCGAACCATTCATTTTATTATCACACACATTTCAGTTTCCATTGAACATTCACTAGTAAATTGATCATAACTTGCTCAATAAAACTCCAATTGATAAGATGTTTGAATATTTAGAAATTAGACATATAGGGCTTTAATTTTATATATTATATGTTTAATTTGGATAACTGTATCCCCACTGCCGAACCATTCCTTTTATCATTATACATTTCAGTTTCCACTGACCAGTTAGTAGTAAATTGATAATAAATTGCTCAATAAAACTCCAGTTGATGAGAGGTTTAAATATTTAGAAACTATACAGATAGGTCTTTAATTTGATATACTATACACTTAATTTGGATAAATGTATCCCCGGTTTCGAACCATTCCTTTTATCATCACACACATTTTGGTTTCCCCTGTTTCTCGATTTTTACTGAACAATTAGTAGTAAATTGGCCATAAGTTACTCAATCTTTGGAAACTAGAAAGATAGAGTTTTAATTTGATATATTATACGATAAATTTGAATAGCTATAGACCTGTGACCGAACCATTCATTTTATCATCACACACATAAAACCAATCAATTTTAGTGATGAAAAGGAAAACAAATATTGATACGTAGATTTAGTTGTATTGTTCTATCTCTTTTTGTTGATATTTTTTTTTTTTATTACATATATATATCGAAAACAGGTTGTTGCTGAATATAACAAATTTTATTTGTATCATAAATATCATCTAATGTTGTTGCCGAACTATGTAGCTTTAGTAAACCATTTATAATATGCCATCTCTTTTTGTTGATATTTTTTTATGTTACATACATATATCATGAAAAGTGGTTGTTGTTGAATATAACTAATTTCATTTATTTAACAAATATCAATTGATGTTTGATGTTGAACCATGTAGCTTTAGTAAACCATTCATTTTATCATCACACACATTTAGGTTTCCACTGAATAATCAGCAGTAAATTGACCATAATTTGCTCAGTAAAACTCTAATTTATGAGAGGTTTAAATATTTAGAAACTAGATAGATAGAGCTCTAATTTGATATATTATATGCTTAATTTGGATAATTGTAGCCCCACTGTCGAACAATTTCTTTTATCATCACACACATTTCGGTTTCCACTAAACAATCAATAGTAAATTGACCATAACTTTCTCAATAAAAATCCAATTGATGAGAGGTTTGAATATTTAGGAACTAGACAGATACGTTTTTAATTTGATATATTATAGCTTAATTTTGATAACTGTAGCCCCACTTTTAAACCATTCATTTTATCATCATATATATTTTGGTTTCTACTGAACAGTTAGTAGTAAATTGACCATAACTTGCTCAATAAAAAACTAATTGATGAGAGGTTTGAATATTTAGAAACTAGACAGACATGGCTATAATTTGATATATTATACGCTTAATTGGATAACTGTAGCCCCACTATCGAGCCATTCCTTTTATTATCATATATATTTTAGTTTCTCCTGTTTCTCGATTTCCATTGAACAGTCAATAGTAAATTAGTATTAACTTGCTCAATAAAAATCAAATTGATGAGCGGCCTAAATCTTTGGAAACTAGAAAGATAGGGCTTTAATTTGATATATTATACGATGAATTATGATAACTGTAGACTTGCTGTCAAACTATTCATTTTATCATCACACACATAAAACAAATTCAATTTTAGTGATGACAAAGGAAAACAAATATTGACATGTAGTTTTAATTGTATTTGTTCTATCTCTTTTTATTGATTTTTGGATTGATTTTGTTGTTTGATTTGTGGGTTTTGCAGGTTTTACAATTATCGTCTTTCTTTAGGATGCTATCATCAAATGCTTTTTTTGTTATAGGTGGTGGTTAATTCCAATTGCAGCAAATAGATTTATGTCACATGACCTTTATCTTCATGGCTTCTTCAATGCTTCAATTAAGTTACCTTCAGATTATACTGTTAGAGTTATTATTGCTTTCTATGTGAGTTTTCTTATCAACATTCTTAATTTTTTTTTAATTTCTAAAATAATAATAATAAAAATAATTCATTTTCTCTTCTCAATAATCAAAATCAGTTTTTTCCTTTGACTCTGCAAGTTTTTGCTTAAAAGTTCACATTTTTCAACAAGGTTTCTCTTCCTCTGATTGATTTATAGACTTATCAATAATACCCAATGGGTTATCCTGCAAATTTTTTTGCTTTTCTTGACAAATTTTTAAACTTTGGTTGCAGATTTCAAATAGTTACATATTTGAGAAGAACCATAATGATATAGACTTTGAGTTCAATTTGTGGATATTTTATTTATTGATTTTTTAATTATCAATTCAATATAAAATGAACTTCAATATATAAAATAGATATTTAAAAGACAAAAAAATCAATAATAATGTAAAAAAAAATATAATAAACATACCCACGCAATACAACTTGAAAATGAATATAAGTTATAAAAATTGCAGGAGATCAGTATAAATTTTAAGTTTAAATAGTTGATCTTAATAATATTCAGGTGATTTTAAATATCATACACGATTCACTACAAAATACTGACATCGAATATCAAAAACATGTCTGTAAAAATAATATCAATTATACAAGGTGATGATCTTAAAAATATAATTAGACTATATGATATTCGAGTGATCTTCTCAAGTTGGATGAATAATTTAATAACATCTACCTATAATTGACATTAATAATTATACAAGTATAATTATTAATTTTATCTTAACACAAGTTTGTATTATTGTATATATATATATATATATAATTTATATTTACTTTAAAATTTATATAATTTAACAATTATTATGTCTTAATCTAATTAGTTTATTTTGTTATAATAAATTTGTTTAAAATCTATTTCAAAAACATTAAATAAATATACTAGTGCAACGCGCGCGCAAACCCATGTTTAGTTTAAGCGTAAAATGACAACAATTTTTGAGACCCAATAACATGAGAGTGGTGAAAGTTGTTTAATTTGCCAAGTTGTCATTTAACATGCGTCTAGGTACACTGTACACCTACTGCTACCCCATGTATCAAGAAAAACATTTCTCGTAAAGCTGATGGATGGCTAGATCGTTGTGTTTTAGTGGTGTGTTTGCTAAATTTTAAAATTTCTGGATCATTTATTTGATTATTGGTTTAACCGGTCAACCCGAGACCAAACCTCTTGGCCGAGTGATACCCTAGATCAGGTTTCAGAACATTGGTGTTAAAGTACAATTTTATAAGTCAAATATCTACAGTGAATGATATTATTGGTAACACGATACACGTTCAGTTAAATCAATAATTTTTACTTTTTCTTTTTTCTTTTGACATTACATATTCTCAGTTTCACTTCAGTTTCTTTTTTCTTTTGACATCATATATTCTCAGTTTCACTTTAGTTTTTGGTAGTGGACGACTTATCAACAACATTTATTATTTTAATGAATGAAATTAATGAATGGAAAGCCAATAAAAGGGTATCCAAATATTCAAAAGGTAGAATAATGAAATTAAGCATGAACGGGTGAAAGGAAAATGGCTCACTTTCTCTGAAGCATTTACAGTCTAACAAAAATTAAGATGCTGATGGTCCATGGAACAATAACAACAAAATTCTAAAGCTCAATTATATCTGCCTTAAATCTTACGATGCGGATGCCAAGAAAAAATCAACTAGAAATGATACATTATCTTGGCATCTGCTTCTGATCATGCAATTGGATTGCCACAGTAAAGATCCACTACAAAATAATACAGGGACTTGACACAGATATTTTATAATGGACGAAGGAAAATTCCTTGGAAAATTTCTGATAAAGCATCACAAACCTTCAAATTTTAATAACTTATCAAGCTTCTTAACCATAACCAAAATGATGGATTTCGCCATCCTTATGGCATACTATCTGCTGTTTTGGTTGCTATTAATCAACAATAGAGCAATGTCAGAACCTGAAGAATACCAAACATATATCATCCACTTGGACCATTCTCAGAAGCCAGAGTCTTTCTTAACCCACGAGTCGTGGCACCACTCCATATTCAACTCTTTGTCTTCAGCTGATGAAACAGAAATGTTGCTTTATTCATACAACCATGTTATGCACGGTTTCAGTGCCAGGCTGACACCCTCTCATCTATCTGAAATCGAGAAATCTCCCGCTCATCTTGCCACATACCCAGAGTCATTTGGCGAGTTATACACAACCCACACTCCCAGGTTTCTTGGATTAAAACATGACTCTGGCATATGGCCTGCTGCTTCATATGGTGAAGGTGTGATCATAGGAATTGTTGATACGGGAATCTGGCCAGAAAGTGAGAGTTTTAGTGACAACGGTATGCCATCGATACCACAAAGATGGAACGGCAAGTGTGAGAATGGTACAATATTTAGCTTTTCTGACTGCAACAGGAAGCTCATCGGTGCTCAATCTTTTAGCAAAGGGCTTCAAGCTGCAGGTATAAAGATATCCAAGAAATATGACTTTGACTCGCCAAGAGACTTCTACGGTCATGGGACACACACATCCTCCACAGCTGCTGGTAACCAGGTATTAGGTGTAAGTCACTTTGGATATGCAAGGGGAACAGCCAGAGGAATAGCACCAGCTGCACACGTTGCTATGTACAAGGTCTTCTGGGCAACAGACACCGATGAGAGTGCAGCAACTGATGTGCTTGCAGGTATTGATCAAGCAATCGCTGATGGTGTTGATATTTTGTCATTGTCTATTGGATTTAACCAGACACCTTACTTCAAGGATATTGTAGCCATAGCTTCTCTTTCAGCTATAGAGAAAGACATTTTTGTTGTCGGTGCTGCAGGGAATGATGGAGGTCACAACTCAATACACAATGGAGCGCCTTGGATCATGACGGCAGGAGCTAGCTTGGTCGACCGGAGTTTTACTGCATCACTTACTCTAGAAGATGGGTTTAGTTTGGAAGGTATATCTTACTTTCCACAGAGCATTTACCTTACCAATGCTTCTTTATATTATGGCGAAGGCAATATAAGCAAAGCAGTATGCAACCATAAAGCATTGGACTCAAATGAAGTTACTGGAAAGGTAGTCCTTTGTGATAATAGCACGAAAGTTGAAATTGATGAACAATTAGAGGAGGTTAAGAGGGCAGGTGCATTTGCCGGTATTTTTTTGTCAGATAAATCTCATTTATTACCAGAAAAATACACCATTCCCGGCGTGATTCTGAATACTGCTTCAGGAACTTTGGTTAGAGAGTATGTGACACGAGAGAGTAGAGCAAGGATCAAAGGTATGAGGTTCCTAACAACAAAATTGGGTAGTAAACCAGCACCTCAAGTGGCCTACTTCTCTTCAAGAGGACTGGATCCAATCAGCCCAGGTGTACTAAAGCCAGATATTCTGGCTCCGGGAGTTGATGTGGTGGCAGCAGTCACACCCAACATGCCATTCATGACAATTGGAAACTACGATTTGGTATCAGATTATGAACTATGGTCAGGCACGTCAATGGCAACACCACATGTTGCCGGAGTTGCAGCTTTACTAAAATCTGTGCACTGGGATTGGAGCCCAGCGGCCATCCGATCAGCTATGATGACCACAGCATATAACATTGACAACACTGGTAATATATTGAAAGATGAAAATACCGGCCTTCCTGCCACACCTCTAGATTTCGGGGCGGGTCATATAGATCCAAACAAAGCCATGGACCCCGGACTCATCTATGACATGGATTTTCAAGATTATATTGAGTTCCTATGCGGCCTAGATTATGATCAAAGTCGGATGAAAGCTCTCATTCGACGAAATCAATGGAATTGCAGCAAAGAGCATACTGAACTCAATTACCCTTCATTTATTGCTATATTCACCAATGAAACGGTGAAGAGATTTAGCAGGAATGTAAAAAACGTGGGAGAAAAAGAATCAGAGTATCATTCAAATTTGGAGCTTCCTACTGGAATGAGAATCCGAACAGAGCCTAGCACTCTCACATTCACTCAAAATTATCAGAAGCAGGGTTTTGTTTTGAGTGTAGAGATTGATAAAAAAGCTCCAAATGTGACATATGGTTATCTCAAATGGATTGATCAACATAATCATACCGTATCAAGCCCCATAGTGGCCATTAAAACCTAGGCAAATCACATTCATTCTCACGTTCTCAAGATTCGTGAAATGAACGAGTACTATTTACTACGGTTATCTGGCTTGGGAAGGTGATTGTGTTCAACAAAACTGGGTTATCTAGTAAAATAAATTGTGATCTTATGATATATAAATACATTAAGGGACACATTCATGAGTTGATGTGAGTTTTTGAATATTACAGAAAATTAACCGATCCACATTCAAAAACAAAGAAAGATAATAAGCAATGAAAATAACAAATTAACTAAACAGAAACTACCAAATTGTAATGAATAATGCATATCATTCATGAACTTTGTTGATGCTAGTTTTTACACCAACGAATTTTTATGTGTATAATATCAATTGACTGTTCGATGCACGTGAAAATGGAATATATGAAAAGTAAAATAACTGTAGAGGGAGTTTTTTAAGTGGTTCGGACGCTAAGATAGCATGTCCTACGTCCACTGATTTGCATTGATATTAGTGGATGTCAGGTCGCGGTCGCGAGCTGACTTACATCAGACGATAAAGTCAAAGAAAAGTTTACAAGAGAGAGAGAAATTTCTGTTTTTCTTCTTGTATGTAAAATGGCCGAATCCCCTTAATGAAGGGGTCTTCCCTATTTTATACTGAACCGAAGCGTATAATCATCACTAAATCCGTGGTTTGGTGTAATTGTCAGTATATAATCAGGCTTTAAGTCCCATTTCCCTTTTTCCAAGCTGACATCGCACGACTTGTTGCAGGAGAATGGACGCGTGTGGGCTCCACATCACTTGGCAGGTCTGACGTGTGCGTGCTGCTATGACGGGAGCAGGTCGCCCTTCACGTGACTTTCCCACGTCAGCCCTTTATTTCCTGGGGCACAACAAACTTGATTGTTTTAGGGTGCTGAATCCAAAAGCAATTTTACGCAGCAGCTGCTTAGATTAAGTGAAAGCATTCATTTTTATATCTAGAAATGGATAAATAAATAATATGAAGTAGAAGCATATTATGCATATCACTAACAAGATTGATCATTTTCTTTCAAAGTTCACAGCCCTAAAATGGAGGAAGTTATAGACGAGACTATAAACAGTAAAAGCAATCAATTTTGAATTCTATTTAAGGGAGAACGACATTTTTCCACCTAAGGTTTGACAAAACGATACTTTTTCACTCATCAAGTTTCAAAATGACACTTTTCCACCCTTCGTTAGATTCTGTTATGTTTTCCGTTAATATTTTACTGAAAAGACGAAAATACTCTTAAATATTTTACTTTATAAATTTTTATTATTTTTTAATTAGCCAAAAATTTAAATATTAAAAAGTCAAAAAAAAAATAATTAACCTTGTCTAAAAAGTTAAGAGTAATACAATAAAATTGTTTAAAGTTAAACGATATTAATATTTATTTATTTATAATGTCATTAATATCCTATCACTATTATTTATAATATTTTTCATTTTTACTAATTAAAATAGAAAATTAATATTCTTAATTAATTAAATAAACAAAAAATATATATCTTTATAGTTAAATTAATAAATAATTAAATAAAAACTTTAATTTAACTAAATTTTAATTTATAATAAATTAATTAAAAAATAACTATTTAAAAGCATTTTCATCTTTTTAATATTAAAGCACCAACATAACCTACCAAAGAGAAAGTGTCATGTGGAAAAGTGTTGTTTCGTCAAAGGTGGGAAAGCCGTTCTCCCTATATTTAATCTAGAAATAGGACTTAATGCACTTTTTGGGACCCAGCTCCGTATGATAGACGTTGGAGACTTGGAACCGGAGACTGACAGAAAGATAATTGGAAAATGATAAAGTTACCGAAAAGTTTATACTAAATTTGTGCACCGAATAACGTGATAAAATCCTGACTATTGATTAATATTAACCGATAATAAATCAACGGTCAGGATTATGCCACATCATTAGGTGTACAAATTCAGTGTACATCCATCGATAACTGTAGCATTACTCTTTTCTTTTTCTTAGATTACGAAATTTTCTTTTTATCTTCCGTTATTTTTAATTCCTTCTTAGCCACGGGTCCAGAGATATAGAGCTAAACAAGTAATGACTTCTTATAACAACATTTTCCCACCCAAAGTTTTGGTAAATCTACAAGTTTTCACTTCTGATTTCATAAATTACAGATTTTCACCCTTAAATTAATAAAAAATTATTTAATTTAAAAGTTAAAAGGATAAAATAATCACTTCAAAGATAAAAATTTCAAAACAACCCTTCACTTCTTAAATTCACCCCACTAAAAAATTTTAAAATAACTCTTCACTTCTCAAATTTACCCCACCGATGATTTCAGGTCATTCCGACTTGTTTCCGGCACAATCGACCCCTCTCGATACCACCAATGCAATCCCCTCGATCCCCACATCAAAACTCCTAACCTTCCCACCTAATTGAACCCCCAATCGTTGGTTGTCACTTTTAGTGTCAATCGACGTTTCATCCAAATTCCAGCAAGTCCCGGCACCGAAAACCACCCCCAAGACCACCAATAGCATCGTCGGCTTCCCCCCACCAAAACCCCCACCATCGCCAACTGCAATTGCCCACCGATCACCGCCGCCTCTCCCTTAGGTTTTTGCGTTTTGTTGCCCCTTTCCAACCAAATTCTAGCCCCTCGCTGAGGTGCAATCGGGTCGAAAAGTTAGGGGTTTTGGTGAGAAGAATAAGAGGATGTTGATGGTGGTGTCGGGGAGGTCCAATGGTGTCAGAATCATGCCAAATTTTTGGCTTAGCCAGGATCTCCTCTGGGGGTTATTTGAGAGAAATGTGAGATGTAGGGGTTATTTTGAGATAAAAGTAACGGTGTTAATTTAAGGGTGAGAACTTGCAATTTATGAAACCAGGGGTAGGAACTTGTAAATTCACCAAACCTTGGGTGGGAACATATCGTTTACTCTTAATTTTTAGACTGATATGTTACTGATTAAATGAAGTACAAAAATTGGATAAAAACTGAAAAAAATTTAGTGTTAATTTTTTTTTTTTTTTTTNATATATAACATTCGTCTTTCGTGAATGACGACTATCCAATAATCATGAATGTTCGTTCATATTTGATGGACGACCTTTCATCACGAATAGATAAGCATCTACGAAAATAACAATAGACTTTCGTCTATACTATTTGGACCAGAGTCCATTTATTATTGGCGGACATCTACCTCATATGGATGCTCGTCTATAAAATTTTTAAAATAAAATAATAGACGGGCGCCCATCTCTTTTAGCAGTATGTTAATGGTTTGTAGATTAGTTTAAAGATTTAATGTTGATGAGTAGTAATATGATAGTTGGCAGTTGAAAAGCTAAATTTCTAGGTTAATATATGAATAAATAAGATTTTATTTTGATTTGATTGTTCGAACAATTCCAATAAACTGCCATATAGGAGAAAATTTTCCTTATACTAAAAAAAAATGAATAAAAGGAACATTTTCCCTTTACCGGTATTTTTTTCAAAAAAAAATTACAAAACAATAGTCCTATTTTGTTTCTAAAATCTAAAAATAATCTTCAATATCATAAACAGCGGAGCTAAGAATTCAAGTGAGGGAGGGAGAATTTAAAAAAAATGATATAATTTACTATTTTCAACGTAATGATAGACATTAAAATTTTAATCATTATTAATACCTTTTTTATTCCATATAATTACAATTGTTTTCAACGTGTTTTAATATTTTGAAAACCATTATTGCAACACTTATAAATAAATCAAATAAAAAAAAATTATACTAACATAAAAAACATACATAAAAATCCTATATTCTTAAAAGTAAACTAAATTAAAAATCATTTAGAGTATAATTCATAAGATAATAAGGGATTTGTCCTACAGGCTACATCAAACCCATAATCTATTTAGTAAAGAATATTTGCTCAACAATTTCTTTTACATGTAATAAGTTCAATTAAATTTCTATAACATGGACCCTATTTATTTATAATCTAACTACCTTCTTTATTTTGTTTTCAAACATTATTATTGGATTGGGTAATTTATAAAAGATATGCACTATTTAGGGTATAATTGTAAGTTTAAAAAAAATTAGGGTCTACTTAGAAGTTTTTTTTCCACTGGTTTTGAGGGGTTCTTAATTAAATTGATTTTGAGGTGTTCTAAAATAATTACTTGCCATATTTTTTATGCTTTTGACTGGCTCAAAAACCCCCTAAAACTAGTGTAGTGTATTTTTGAAGGTTTTGGTTGGTTTTAAAATTTTATTCCACAAATACCCTATCCACTACGAAACTATCCCAATTATGTAAAAAAATAAATAAATAAATAAAATTTAACCATATTATGCCTGTCTCCAATCATATTAAATATAAAATAATTTTAAGCAATCATAAAAAAAAAAAAAGTTATTAAAATCTCATTTCTAGATGCCTGGAGAAGTAGAGTTACAATTTTTCATATGCTACAAAGAATGACGAAGAAGGATAAGTTATAAAATACCAATAAGTAGAAAACAAATAAATAACCCTTACCTTGTAATTGAAAAAATAAAAATCACAAGTACTAGTTGAAGATAGGGTATTTTGATGGGCATAAATATAAATTTATCATTTTAAAAAACCGTTACGATGATTTACCCTCAAAATGCTACGATGGTTTATCCTCATAACCGCTAGACTTGGCAAAACAAGTTCATGCTAACGGGTCGGCTCATACTCGAGTAAAAAATATAAGGTACGGGTCTAGTGTTTTGGACCCCTACCCATACTCTACCTGTATTTCATGTGGGTTACACGAGTAAACCAACGAGTGACTGTTTATTTTTTATTTTTTTTTTAAACTAAATTAAAGTTTGAAAATTAAAATCCCGAATCCTAAAAGACTCACACTCATCTCGACTCTCCTCCCTCCCAAGCTCCAGCACAGACGCAACTCTCCTCTCGCACATTGTCGCCGTCGCCATCTCCTTTTTCACATAGTCATACCGTCGTCGGCCGTCCTCCCTCCCAC